GAGAGAGAGAGAGGGACCACAGTCCTATGGACGCACTGTGAGTCGGTCTTCTTCATGTCACTTCCTCGTCTTCCTCCATTCTCCCAGCCCAACCCAGAAACCGTCACACCCTCATCGCAACTCCCAAGCCATCATTCCTCTCTCTAGTGGTCTCTCAACATCACAAGGCAAGTCCCTCGGAACAGAGTTCATATTGTGTTTGTATCTCTTTGCTTCTCCAACGGTCTACTCCTTGGCTTCTTCTACCCATGGCCTCGTCATTATCATCGTCACTACCATGTCCTCTGTTCTTTCTCTTCCTTCTCTGCAACACCTCTCTTCTCCTTGTTGTTGGTGGCCTGAACAGCGAAGGCACAGCTCTCATCTCCTTCAAAGCAGGCATCAGGGACGACCCCGCTGGCTCCCTGCGAAACTGGAACTCCTCCGACCAGGACCCCTGCTCCTGGAATGGGATCACATGCAGGGGAGGCTCAGTGGCTGCCTTAAGCCTGCCCAAGAAGAAGCTGGTGGGCTACCTCTCCTCTGCTCTTGGTTCCCTCCGATCCCTCAGGCACGTCAACCTCAGGAACAACAGGCTCTTCGGCAGCCTCCCCGCCAGCCTCTTCGCCGCCCGGCAGCTTCAAAGCTTAGTCCTTTACGGGAATTTCTTGTCCGGTTCACTCCCGCCGGAGATTGGCGAGCTTTTGTACCTCCAAAGCTTGGACCTTTCCGGCAACTTGTTCGCCGGCCCGATACCCAGCTCTTTGATCCACTGCAAGCGGTTGAAGGCCCTCGTCCTGAGCCACAACAACTTCACCGGTTCCTTGCCCCTTGGATTTGGTGGCAGCCTTGCAGAGTTGGAAAAGCTTGATCTTTCTTACAATGGATTCAGTGGCCCGATTCCGACTGACGTCGGTAATCTTACTAACCTTCAAGGAACGCTGGGTTTGTCCCACAACAGGTTCTCTGGCTCAATCCCGCCGAGCCTCGGCAATCTGCCGGAGACGGTCTACATCGACCTCACCTATAATAATCTCAGTGGGCCGGTGCCGCAAAATGGTGCTCTGGAGAACAGAGGACCGACGGCTTTCATCGGAAATCCTGGCCTTTGTGGCCCGCCATTGAAGAACTCGTGTCCTCCCGAAGTGCCATCGTCAAACCCCTTCCGTCCCATCAATTACTCACCTCCGGCACTCGAGGGAAATAGCACGCACAGCGGAAGCAGCAGCAGCAGACTGAGTAACGCTGCAGTGATCGCATTTGTGGCGAGTGATGTGGTCGGAATTGGTCTGATTGCATTGGTGTTCTTTTATTTCTACTGCAAGGCAATTGCTTCAGTTGGGGCCAAGGAAGATGGAGAGACTTCTGAGAAGAGGCCAAAGGGCAGGAAGGAATGCATGTGCTTTAGGAAGGAGGACTCTGAGACCTCACCGGACAGTATCGAGCATCATGAGCTAGTGTCACTAGATAGGAATGTGCCATTTGATCTTGATGAACTTTTGAAGGCATCGGCATTTGTTTTGGGGAAAAGTGGGATCGGTATCGTCTACAAGGTTGTGCTGGATGATGGACTGACTTTGGCTGTAAGGACGTTGGGGGAAGGAGGATCACAAAGGTTCAAAGAGTTCCAAACCGAGGTGGAAGCGATTGGAAAGGTCCGACATCCTAATATTGTTACTCTAAGAGCTTATTACTGGTCGATCAACGAGAAATTGCTCATCTATGATTACATTCCTAATGGCAACCTTTCTGCCATGATTCATGGTATGAGCTCTGACGACTATCTCTTCTTCAGATTTTGATGGGTTTTGCTTATGCATAGTGCAGATGATTTTTGATCTGATGAATTATATATTGATAACCTTAGTTGTAATTTATGAGGGGTTGATCCATTGTCTAGAACTTCATTCCATAAAATCTTCAGGTTAAACTATTTCTAAAGAGAGATCATTGTCTAGAACTCGATATGCTGCCTTTGTTGGGTACTTGTTTGCATCTTTAGATGTTATAATTTAACATAGTTACTACATTAAACTCACTTTCCTGTTCCTCAAGCTTATCTTCACCTTGTAGTCTTTTCTTCTGTTGGAGATGAAGCACCCTTTTATGTCGCTCGAAGGTACCAGATTGGAATACTAAAACAATTATACTAGCACTTTGGCATGCTAGTATAATTCACATCTCTAGAGAAATTTGGCTGATGTTCCTATTGTTCAAATTTTATATGCACACTTAGTTCTTTATTTTAGTGTATTTCTTGGTACTGTGGCTAATGACAGGGAAAACTGGAACAAGGAATTCTACACCACTATCATGGGAAGTACGCTTGAAGATCATGAAAGGAATAGCAAAGGGTTTGGCTTTCCTGCATGAAATTAGTCCAAAGAAATATGTTCATGGAGATCTCAAACCGAACAATGTACTACTCGGACCGGATGTGGAACCTTACATATCAGATTTTGGGGTTGGACATCTGGCTAACATAGCAGGAGGATCTCCATTTCTGCAATCAGACAGAATAGCTGTTGAGAAAATTCAAGGCCAACACTCAGATGTTGCATTCGGTCCCATCATGAGTAAAGGATCAGGTTATCAGGCTCCTGAGGCGTCGATGATGCTGAAACCATCTCAGAAGTGGGATGTTTACTCATTCGGAGTAATCCTATTAGAACTTATTTCCAGCAGGTCTCCACTTGTTCTTCTGGATACGGTGGAAATGGATTTGGTTAGTTGGTTTCATCTATGTATCGAAGAGAAGAAACCCCTCTCAGATGTGTTGGACCCTTTTCTAGCTCAGGAATTGGATACAGAAGATGAGATTATCGCGGTGCTGAAAATTGCTCTGGTTTGTGTTCAAGCTAATCCCGAAAAGAGGCCGTCAATGAGGCATGTCACCGATACTCTCGAAAGATTGATCAACAGAAACTAGTGGTGTGCTCAAGGACCATGAAAACTGCAGTCTGAATCCAAGAAGTGATCGCTTTCTCCATTTCTTGCATTGTTGATCATTCTCTGAGTTTTCTGCAAAGATGCTGTGTTTCCAAGTGCCAATCTGTTAAATCATTGGAGTGTGCCACCATGAAAGAAGAATGTTAACCAAGCCAGGTGAGGGCTTTGCTGTTCATTAGCTCAAATCTGAGGCATATCTTCCTTAGATTATCTTGCCATGTTTTTAGTGTGCCTTAACCGATCAATAATGCTTGTAACCATTATTATTCCAGGTCTTTATTTTATTTGGATCTTGCTAAATTTCATTATCATGGCATTTTACTGAAGTTGTGCTACTTCGCAATAATATAGGACATGTTTCAATGGATGTAGAATAGGGAGCCACTGCTTCTTCTCTGATGATAAACAATGTTGATATAGTTGATATAGCAGACCATATTCTTTCTGATTCTTGAATGGCGGCCTTGCCTTTCTGTCAACCATTAACTTTTTAGTATTGGCTCACCATCTTGAATGGTGGACTTGCCGTTCTGTCGATCTCAGTCCTGAGGGCTCACCATCAAAAGCTTTGTGTGGACCAAAAGAGTTCTTAGTTTCATTCACCCATGGAAGCTTGTGCACTTCATCATGAGCAGGTTTTCTTGTCTGGATTCTAGCACTGTTATGGGAAGGAGATCACTATTGCTATCTGATACAGCATATTCAAAAATTCACTGCACGGATACGTAGGCTACCACGGTGGACCTGGCACGACGTTCCAAAGCCATGCATTGAGCCACCTATCATCCATGTCGCTAGCACACTGCATCAACACTACTCGAGGCTGTACGAAGCGACATAGTCCCGTCCTGAGCTACTCTAGAAGCACAAAGCAATGCCAAATGAAAAGGGCCGGACAAATTAGACTGTACCCATGTCCTAGCATACGAGCTGACCACCCATAGCGATAGTGCCTTTAAACACCTGCGTACGAAGATGTCGACGATCATTAATAGCTAAATACATTAACACACAGTAATAGGTATAAAGCCACCCTAGGAACAACGTTGGGGTCGGACTAGAGATGCACACACACACACCAACTCTCTCATCTCTAACTTTTGTTGACTTAAGCATCTGAGGGGTCGAATCCATCTCAGAGTATGCCTAGAGTTTTGAGGAGCGTCGTCGTAGCCCTGTTGTGTGGATCACCACTAGAGAGGAGGACGCTTGACCTCCTTCACCCTCTCCTAAGGATCTGCAAGGAAACAGGGATATACGATCTCCCTATGTAACATAATCTACTCTATACGCAGTTTTAAGTTTCGCGGATTTTTTTGTTCACCAATCTTCGCACGACGACGAACATCTCTTTGGGAATCGGGGATTTTGTTTTCTTGTTCTTCCGCTGCGCATGTGATGTCGCCCCCAAGATTTCCCAACACTTCCAAGCCCATCCAATTGAGGTAATTACCGACCAACTGCTCCGGCAGGTTTTGTCTAAATTCGACGTTGCAAGTCGCCTCCTCAAATGGTCGGTGGAGCTCGGCGAGTTCGACATACAATATGTACCAAGAAAAGGCCCAATCAGTAGCCGACTTCATCTTGGAACTAACTCAGCCCAAGGACAAGGATTCGGAGCGGGTCAGTGACGGATGGGTCCTGCGCATGGACGGATCTGCCAGTTCGAAGGGCGCGGATGCGGGGCTAGTGCTGAAGCCCCCGACGGACGTTCGTTCGAACGCTCCCTTCGCTTCGGCTTTCAAGCCACGAATAATGAGACAGAGTATAAGGCACTCCTAGCAGGACTCCGATTAGCCATTGAGATGTAGGTAGACGTCATACATGTCCTCACAGACCCGTAGCCTGTTCGAGTCCACCTCTGCTCGACCTGCCCGCCTGAGCTGTGCCTCTCGGCCGCAGTCTACCCGAGTCCACCTCTGCGCGGCCTGCCCGCCTGAGCCGTGTCCCTCGGCTGCAGTCTGCTCGCTTGAGCCGTGTCCCTCGGCCGCAGCATGTCCGAGTCCACCTCTACGCGGCCTGCCCGCCTAAGCCGAGCCCCTCGGCCGTAGCTTGCCCGAGTCCACCTCTGCACGGCCTACCCGCCTGAGCCGTGTCCCTCGGCTGCAGTCTAACCGAGTCCACCTCTGCGCCACCTGCCCGCCTGAGCCGTGTCCCTCGGCCGCAGCCTGACCGAGTCCACATCTGCGTAGCCTGCCCACCTGAGCCGTGTCCCTCGACTGCATTCTGCCCAAGTCCATCTCTGCGCGGCCTGCCAGCCCGAGCCGTGTCCCTCGGCCGTAGTCTTCCCGAGCCCACCTCTACACGGCCTGCCCGCTTGAGTCGTGTCCCTCGGTCGTAGCCTGCCTGAGTCCACCTCTGTGCGGCCTGCCCACCTGAGCCATGTCCCTCGGCTGCAGTCTACCCGAGTCCACCTCTACGTGGCCTGCCCACTTGAGCTGTGTCCCTCAGATGCATTCTACCCGAGTCCACCTCTACGAGGCCTGCCCGCCTGAGCCGTGTCCCTCGGCCGTAGCCTGTCCGAGTCCACTTCTGCCGTGG